ACTATGATTGTTATTTTAAGAATTCTTTTCTTTAAGGCAGCAACTCACTGTTTAAAAAAGGTGGAGTTAGGGCAAATCTTAAAGCTATGTGTGTGGAAAAGTATTCTTTTATCTCTTAATAAAAAGATAGGAACTTCTTGTTAGAGGCTGTCCTTTGTTGTTGCTTGTGGTTTGATTCTCATGTTTAAAATGTAGAAAACTTATCCCTTCTTAGTGCAGGACAATTTTTAGTTTTGTTATAAGTAGAGTGGACAGACTGCTTGTTAAACAGAAAAAATAATTTTAAATCTAAAGTCTCAGTTATGGAATTTTTAGTTTTCCAACAAAATGGTAGTTTTTATAGAGGACCAGATGATGTGTGTAGGGTTTTTTTTGTTTGTTTTAATTTTGTGATAAGTTCAGTTTTCTTACGGGAAAAACCAGGCTTGCTTTATAAGCAGTTGTATAACAGGAACTGGATGGGGGGGAGGTGAGAAATGTGAGAGGCTACAGATTGCTTCAGTGTCAAAGCAGAATTAGAGGATTAGAACAAACTTCTCCAACTTCTTGCAGAAGTATTAGACTGTGCAAGCATGGCGTTCTGGATTTGCATTAATCTTAAATGAGCTCTTCTGAGTACGTTCTGAAAACATGCTAATTCAGTGATTGTCGGTTGTATTTATACAATTTTTTCAGCACTCTGATAATTGGATAACAAATGCAGTCCAGGCATTTACAACTTCTAGATTTAGAATTGTTCTGATTTACATTTTGCCTTAGCTTTTGAAATGTATCCTCTTTCATTTTGTCAGTGATGCTCAAATGCCAGTAGCCCTGAGGTATAAATGGTGATAGTCTCGCAAAAAAGGGAACTTGTCAGGATTTACAGATCTGCCCAAGTGCAAGAACCTTATAATATTACATTTACTGCTGGAGAAGCATGAACAAATTGCTCTTTGTTGATAAAACTCCTGGAAAATAACTTGGAAGAATAAATAATGCTAGAGGCTACTATGCTCAAGTGGGATTTTCAGAATTATCAGTCTTGGTGAACCTTGCTGGGTTCACTGTAATTTTAGCTGAGTTTCTGAATTCTGAAATGAAGAAATTCTGAAAATCTCATCTTTGGCAATGATATTGGTTGAAATTACAAATTAAAATCACTTTCCTGATGATGGAAGACTATATAATCAGCAGTGATATGGAAAGGCTGAATAGCAATCAAGTGCTCCTTGCCTCTTCCAAAAGAAATGAGGAGGCATTAATGAAACTAGTGGATTTGAAACAAAAGGAGGTTTGGTTTTTTTAGTTTTGTTCCCCCTCCACACACACAATGTGAACTTTTTACTGCAGAACGCTGTGGATGTTAAAAAGTTTACACGAGTTCAAAGGGAGACAGGACAAGCTCACAGAAGAAAAAATTTCAGTGTTGCTGAACACACAAACACATCTGACCCAGAAAGTCCTGAGATGCAACTGGTGAAGTGGGACAGCACTTGGAGGAGGAGAGAAAGCCTTGTATGCCTCTCCTACTGTTATCTTCTTCCCCAGGCATCCAGCCTTGGCCACTGTTGGAGGCAGGATTGTAGATTAGCTGAATGTTTGGGGTCTGATCCAGTACAGCCATTTGTATCTTCTACCTGATCTCATGAGCTCTTTTTCAATCTCTCTGTTTCTATGACTGAGGTTACTTTCTTAAGAAATAAAAGTTTGGAGGTAGATTCCAGTTAAGGATTTCTTACCTGTGTGAAGTATCCTCTATGTTTTTTTTTTTTTAAGCGCTTTTAGATGAAAAATACAAAGAAGTATTTGACTTGGTATTGGTATTTCTTTAAATGTCAAAGACACGTATATTGAGTGAAACAGATTTTGACTTGCATTCTGTTCCTAAGAAAGCCAGAAATGAAAATTTCAAGCTGAATATAAAAAGTATAAAATAGGAAATCTTTTGCTTTTAAAATAATAGTATGTTGAGGTAAATCAGAGGTGTTGATAGAAAGTTTGTTTCTTTTTCCTTGTCTTTTGAAACTGCTGGTTAATTAGCTAGTTATCAATGGCTGCCTACCTTGGTGTAGATCAAAAGAATGCTTGGAGTCAACTAAATTTGCACTGCTTTTGTTTTTATGGTAAGTGTGCAGTGTCTGCACTCTGTAGATGAAGAAACCAGACTACAAAGAACAGATTTGTAAGTTTTGATCCTAAAACTGAACTCCTACACACCCCACCACCCCCCACATAGGCATATGAGTAAAAATAATGTACTTTTTGGAAGTACTGGATGCAACACATTCAGATGCTAAGGAGCTCTCACAATATAAGCCATTTTTTTGAGATGCCTAGGCATTAGGAGCATAACTCCTCATCTAGATTTAAATTTTGGCATAAGCTCTTACCAGAGAGACAGAAGAGTTGGTATCAAAGGCAGGAGCAGAGGGAAGGAGTGCGGCTATTCAGGAATGTATCAGTGAAAACATTGCTCCATCCACAGCTCTCCAGGATAATCTTGTTGCAGAACCAGAAAAGGTGGAGAAAACCTTGTCCAGTCCAGAATAGCTGGTAGCTTGGCTTTTTATTGACTTCTTGTGGGAGGTACAGGTTCACTCCCCCTCTTCTGAATCAGTCAGATCAGGAATTTCTCAAGTAATGGTCAGATTCTCTAAATTACAGATGTTGCTTTTTTGACTGTATTCTTTTTTGTTTTGTGTGTGTGTGTGTCCCCAATCCCATCCTGTCCTGTCGTACCCCCCCGCTTCCCT